AAAAACCCCTAAAGATAGTGTCAGAAAATTACTAGAGCTATTCAGTGAATTTAGCAAAGTCGCAGGATACGAAATCAATACACAAAAATCACTTGCATTTCTACATACTAACAATGAAAAATCATAAAAAGCAATTAAGGGATCAATCCCCTTCACCATTGCAACAAAAAGAAGTAAATATCTAGGAATAAACTTACCTAAGGAGATGAAAGAACTGTATACAGGAAATTATAAGACACTAATGAAAGAAATCAAAGATGACATAAACAGATGGAGAGATATTCCATATTCTTGGGTAGGAAGAATCAATATTGTGAAAATGACTATACTACCAAATGCAATTTACAAATTTAATGCAATTCCTATCAAATTACCAATGGCATTTTTCACAGAACTAGAACAAAAAATTTCACAATTCATATGGAAACACAAAAGACCCTGAATAGCCAAAGCAGTCTTGAGAAAGAAGAATGGGGCTGGAGGAATCAAGCTTCCTGACTTCGGGGTATACCACAAAGTTACAGTCATCTAGAAAGTATGGTACTGGCACAAAAACAGAAATATAGACCAATAGAACAAGATAGAAAGCCCAGAAATAAACCCATGCACCTATGGGTACCTTATTTTTGACAAAGGAGATAAGAATAAACAATGGGGCAAAGACAGCCTCTTCAATAAATGGTGCTGGGAAAACTGGACAGCTACATGTAAAAGAATGAAATTAGAACACTTCCTAACACCATACACAAAGATAAACTCAAAATGGATTAAAGACCTAAATGTAAGACCATAAACTATAAAACTCTTAGAGGAAAACATAGGCAGAACACTCAATGACATAAATCAAAGCAAGATCCTCTATGACCCACCTCTTGAAGTGAAGTGAAGTGAAGTCGCTCAGTCATGTCTGACTCTTTGCGACCCCGTGGACTGTAGCCTACCAGGCTCCTCCATCCATGGGATTCTCCAGGCAAGAGTACTGGAGTGGGTTGCCATTTCCTTCTCCAGGGGATCTTCCCGACCCAGGGATTGAACCCAGGTCTCCCGCAGTGGAGGCAGACGCTTTAACCTCTAAGCCATCAGGGAAGCCCAAGGACCCACCTCCTAGAGTAATGGAAATAAAAACAAAAGTGAACAAGTGGAACCTGATTAAACTTAAAAGCTTTTGCACAGCAAAGGAAGCTATAAGCAAGGTAAAAAGACAAGCCTCAGAATGACAGAAAATAATAGCAAATGAAACAACTGACAAAGGATTAATTTCCAAAATATACAAGCAGCTCATACAAATCGATACCAGAAAAACAAACAAACCAATCAAAAAGTGGGAAGAATACCTAAGTAGTCATTTCTCCAAAGAAGACATACAGATGGTTAACAAACACATGAAAAGATGCTCAACATCACTCATCATTAGAGAAATGCAAATCAAAACTACAATGAGCTATCACCTCAGACCAGTCAGAATGGCCATCATCAAAAAGTCTACAAACAATAAATGCTAGAGAGGGTGTGGAGAAAAGAGAACACTCCTGCACTGTTGGTGGGAATGTAAATTGATACAGCCACTGTGGAAGAAGGTATGGAGATTTCTTAAAAAAAAAACTAGGAATGAAACCACCATATGACCCAGCAATCCCACTCCTAGGCATATACCCTGAGGAAACCAAAATTGAAAGAGACACATGTATCCCATTGTTCATTGCAGCACTATTGATGATAGCTAGAACATGGAAGCAACCTAGGTGTCCATCGACAGCTGAATGGATAAAGAAGTTGTGGTATGTATACACAATGGAATATTACTCAGCCATAAAAAGGAACACATCTGAGTCAGTTCTAATGAGGTGGATGAATCTAGAACCTATTATATAGAGTGAAGTGATTCAGAAAGAGAAAGATAAATCCCATTTATATATATTATATATATAATATATATATTTTATAAATCCCATTTATATATTCTAACACATATATTTGGAATCTAGAAAAATGGTACTGAAGAATTTACTTACAGGGGAACAATGGAGAGACAGACATAGAGAATAGACTTATGGACATGGGAAGAGGGGAGGAGAGGGTGAGATGTATGGATTGAGTAACACGGAAACTTACATTACCAAATGTAAAATAGATAGCCAATGGGAATTTGCTATATGGCTCAGGAAACTCAAACAGGGGCTCTGTGTCAACCTAGAGGGGTGGGGTGGGGAGGAAGATGGGAGGGAGCTTTGAAAGGGAGGGGATATATGTATACCTATTGCTGATTCATGTTGAGGTTTGACAGAAAACAGCAAAATTCTGTAAAGCAATTATCCCTCAATAAAAAAATTAATTTAAAAAATGGGTAAAAAGACACATAAACTATGAAAATACTAATTGGTGACAGTAATACAAGCCAAGTTACACTAGAGAACAAGATAAAGGTGATGATGGGAAACCACATAATAAAGGGGTCAGATCACTGAGAGGCCAAAACAGTCCTAATGGCTGAGCACTGAAGAACTGATGTTTTCAAATTGTGGTGTTGGAGAAGACTCTTGAGAGTTCCTTGGACTGCAAGGATGTCAACCAGTCAATCTTAAAGGAAATCAACCCCGAATATTCGTTGAAAGGACTGGTGCTGAAGCTGAAGCTCTGATACTTTAGCCACCTGATGCTGAAGAGCCAACGCTTTGGAAAACACCCTGAGGCTGGGAAAAATTGAGGGCAGGAGGAGAAGGGGGCAACAGAGGATGGGATGGTTGGGTGGCATCATTGACTCAATGAACATAAATTTTAGCAACTCCAGGAAAGAGTGAAGGACAGGGGAGCCTGGTGTGCTGTGGTCCGTGGGGTCACAGAGTCGGACACGAATGAGTGATCAGACAACGCAACAGTTCATCTTTAACATCAAAACTGGGGGAAATCCCAAATGATAGTTAACCTTTAATTTCTCCATAATGGGGCTGCGGGAAGTGTCCATGGACCTTCTCTGATTATTTCTTATAACCACAGGGTCGGCTTGTAATTATGTCAATAAAAGAAGGACACAGATATTGCCTTCCCGGGACAGTGCTCCGCACCTAGCAGCTGCCGGCACGGCGGCTCCCCCTCAGCGACCGCCCCACGGAGGGGTCCCTGCCTGCCGTCCTCCCAGCCCTGGAGAGGAAAGGAAGGCGTAACCAGAGAGAGAGACGTTTACCCATTGAATCTGAGTGGGTCACAGCAGAAGTCCTGTTTGCATAAAGCTTTGTTTTATTTTTCCCCCTTGGGACCTTCATCTCATTCATTGTTCCATCCTCTAACAATTTCATGTAAGAAGCTCTCTTGGGAAAGCGATCCTGTGACCCTCTATTTCAATCACTGACCGCCTTTATTTTACAGATCTCCTTAAGAGTTCTCGCCAGGTCAGGCCTGCGGGCGGCTGCCTTTGTTAGCCTTCTCTCCCGAGACATGAGGACGCGCTCCCCAGAGAGCTGTGGGCCCAGATTCCTTTAAGACTCTGAAGCTGGCTCAGTGGTTGCTGCCCTTGTGGGGACACTGGTGAGAAGCCGGGGGGATGTGTGTTATGGGAACGTGACCACTGATCCCCTCAGACCCCAAGGCTGACAGTGAAACCACGGTCCCCCAACCACTCCGCGTGCTGGCACTGAGGATACAACGCTTCCCCAGGAGGAAGCTCCTGGCCGCCGCTGCGGTGTCTGCAGGGAGATCCCTCACCCCACGGAGACCCTCCACTGAGCATCCAGCTGTAGCCTGGACCCCACGCATGAGCAGGTCTTTGGGGAGTCCCAGGGGCCCCTCCTGACGGTTCCCTGCCCGTGATGGCTGGCCTGGGCCTGGCAGCGCTCAGGGCACCTCGTTAGGACCTGTAACTGGAGTGACGGCACTGCCGGGAGCTGGGGGCAGCCCCAGGGTCACCGGGCAGAACGGCCCCCTCCATCTCGCGGCCCGGACCTGCCATCCAGTCGCCATGGCACCGGGCGTGTCCTGAAGCCCCGGTGTGTGAGGACGGGGGAGTCAGGGCCCCTCACCGCATCGCCCCCGTCACCGCCCCCCCGCTCTGACCTGCCTCCAGCCTTCTACTGAATTCTTGGTCCCTCACCTGTGGCTTTGCTCACAGCATCTACTGAATAAGCACTTAGGGCCTAGAACCAGACGCTCTTGTTTGGCAGGATCCAAACCCAAGGCCTGGATCGCTGTTGTTCAGTTGCTCAGCCATGTCAGACTCTTTGCAACCCCATGGACTGCAGCACGCCAGGCTCCTCTGTCCTCCACGACTGCCTGCAGTTTGCTCAGACTCGTGTCCATTGAGTCGGTGATGCCATCCAACCAGCTCATCCTCTGCTGCCCCCTTCTCCTCCTGCCTTCAATCTTTCCCAGTATCAGGGTCCCTTCCAGTGACTTGGCTCTTCGCATCAGGTGGCCAAAGTATTGGAGCTTCAGCTTCACCTTCAGTCCTTCCAATGAATATTCAGGACTGATCTCCTTTAGGGTGGACTGGTTGGATCTCCTTGGAGTCCAAGGGACTCTCAAGAGTCTTCTCCAACACCACAGTTCAAAAGCATCAATTCTTCAGCACTTAACCTTTTTCTGGTTCAACTTTCACATCCATACATGACTACTGGAAAAACTACAGCTTTGACTATACAGACCTTTGTCAGCAAAGTGATGTCTCTGCTTTTTAATATGTTGTCTAGTTTTGTCATAACTTTGCTTCCAAGGAGAAAGTGTCTTCTAATTTCATGGCTTCAGCTACCATCCACAGTGATATTGGAGTCCAAGAAAATAAAATCTGTTACTGCTTCCACTTTTCTGCCATCTTTTGCCATGAAGTGATGGGACCAGATGCTATGATCTTAGTTTTGCTAGTGTTGAGTTTTAAGCCAGCTTTTTCACTCTTCTCTTTCACCCTTATCAAGAGGCTCTTTAGTTCCTGTTTGCTTTCTGCCATTAGAGTGGTATCATCCCTTACCTGCTGAACCACTGGGGAAGCTGACCTGGCCACTGTTTGATGGTAAATGACGGATCCGGCTGTTCCAGATAGTAGGGCGTGTGCCTGGTCATGGCGTGTCCTTACTGGAATCCCCATGAGCCATCACAGCCGCTGCCCCGTGGGCCAGAGCTCCTGCTCACCTGCGTGGGGTCTGGCCATGCCACTCCTCCATGCATCACTGCGTGGAGAGGACTTGCCTCCTCTCACTCCTCTCGTCTCTAGCCTAGGAGGAAGCTGTTTTTCTGAAAACAAGTATATCCTGGGGCTTCCAGAGAACAGAGGCCGTGGGGCAAACCCAGAGACCGTGGCCCCTGCCTGCTCAGCTCCGCCCTCTCGTCCGGGGTCGGGGCCTGGCCACCAGCAGAGGACGCAGCCCGTGGTGCGTGTCACGGCCGTGGTCCCGTCTTGCTGGAGGCTGGATGCCCACACCTCCCGGGAGCGGACACGAGCAGATCTCTGGGCAGTCCCGGAGGCCCCTCCTGACTGTTCCCTGCCGTGATGGACGGTCTGAGCTCGGGAGCTGGGAAAGGGTGCCTTCAATGTGGCATCAGGCCCTGTGAGCCCTCCTCGCCGGGACTCTGGGCTCAGCCCCCCATGTGTAGGGCAGGGGGGAACCAGCAGACACCAGGCGAGGAGGGGCTGGTGAGCCCCCCTGCCCTGGGCTCACCCCTCTCCCCCCAGGTCTGGCCCTGAACCTGCGCATGTGTAAACCTGCTCTCCTCCAGGGGTGGAGGAGAGGCCCACACAGAGAGGGCCAGTGGTGCCGGCTGCCCCTGACCCTTCAGCTGGAAGACCCCATAGGCAGCTGGAGCGAGACCAGAGCGGTCCAGTGGAGCCCCTGACCGTGGGAGGCGAGCGTGCTTCCATCTGAGGCCCCGGGCTCTGCTGGGTTTGACCTGCGGCGATGGTGACGACACAGTCCATCAAAAGCAAGTCTGTGCATCTCAGTGAGGCCGGCAGACTGAGGCTTCAGTGATGTTTCTGTGGCCACCAAATAGTCGGTGCATGAAAACTCTTAATAACCTTGCAAAAATTAATCTAAATAGTAACTGAATTATGTCCACTTTGTCTGAATTTTATTTGATTTTGGCTACAAAATATAATAATGGGACAAAGAAAATTTAGACCACGTCAGTGGCTGGGAATGCCTAGATCAGCCCTTTTATCTTTAACCACTGAAAGCCCAAAGGATTCTGAAGCTGCTACCGCCATCAGAGAGGCTGAGACCTCTCAGATGTGGACGAGCTTTGGTAGCAGACCAGCCTCCTAAACAAAGGATGAGAAGCCTTTGCTAACAGAGTGTTGGCAGCACTGTGGCCTTAAAGCCTGGGAGATTTTTGCTGTGTGTTTGTTTCTCTCAATGAAAACTGCCTTGGCTAAAACCAAGAACGTTAGAAGTATCTATTTGTCGTACCCGTCAACCTGCTACCAAGCTGAGGAACAACGTAAAAACTGTGTGTGCTAAGCTGCTTCAGTCGTGTCTGACTCTCTGCGATCCTACGGACCATAGCCCGCCAGGCTCCTCTCTCCATGGGATTCTCCAGGCAAGAATACTGGAGTGGGTTGCCAGGTTCTCCTGCAGGGGATCTTCCTGACCCAGGGATCAAACCCACTTCTCGTCATGTCTCTTGCATTGCAGGTAGCTTCTTTACCATGAGCACCACCAGGGAAGCCCCAAAACTCTTTAGTGTTTGGCAGTTTTTAAGGCCTGGAGATTATGGCTCATCAATTTTTATCTTCTAATTGATATAAAAATCATACAATGAAGCTGCTAATTTATTTGCATTTCTTACTCCAACCCAATTAATTCAACTGAAACAAATGTCCGTTGTGAAAAGCCCGCTGAGGTGAAAGTAAGTCGTCAGGACTTACATCATTAGCGTTTTCCTGGAGCAGTAGCTGTAACATGCTGTAACACCGTGCGCTGGGCTGGCGTCCGTGGACGCTGATGGCCTGCAGTCATTGGCAGAACAGAGGAGGGAGCAGACAGCAGCTTCTCCTGAGCCTCCGCAGGGTCCTGTATGCTTCTCCTGAGACTGGACTAGCACCTGGGATCCACCCAGGGCCAGAGAAAGCTTGTGTTCCCAGGAGCAGAGCGGGATGTCCTCGCAGTGGGCTGGGTATCGAGAGGAGTCCTCGGACAGCATCGCCCGGCAGCAGGAGCAGGTGAAGCTCCTCTGGATGGACCCTAAGAAATCATTGAAACAAGTCTCGAAAGATCCAGTTGATGCCAACTAACTGCATTTCTGGGTGGCAAAAAAGAAACACCAAGTCCAAAACATGTAAAGGGGTAATAACAAAAATATAAGAACCCTAACACCTAACAATGCAAAAGTCACAACGTCCATAATTTAATGAAGAAGTTACTGGATGTGCAAAAGAGCAGGACAGTGTGACCCACAACAGGGAGAGAAACTGATCAATAGGAATAGACTGGGGAATGAATGGTGGAAGGAATAACAGGAATTACAAACATGACCCAGATGTTCCAGAAACTAAAGGAAAACACATAACTTACCTCAGGAGGTTGGATATAAGTTACATTCTGAAAGTCATAAGTAGAAAATCTAAATATATTAAAAAAACTGTAATATCTGAGTTGAAAAATGCACAGAATGGGAATAAGAACAGAGTCCCAATAGACAAAAAGTTAGAAAAAAAGTTTAGTGAACTTGAAAACAACAGTAGGAAGGATTTTTTACTAGAAAAACAGAGCATCAGTAAGCAGTGAGAAATATTAAATAGCTTAAAATGCATGTACGTGATGGTGCGGCAGGTTACAAATTAATAATGACGGAAACAATGCAAGTCAAAAGACAGTGAAGCGATTTCTTTAAAGTTTTGAAAGAAAAGGAAATCAACCTGGAATTCTACACTAAGCAAAACTGTCTTTCAAAATAAAAGTGAAATAACACTTTAGACATACAAAAGATGAAAAATTCAATGCCAGCAGACTTGAGATGCAAGGAGAAGAGTTAAACTAAGAATTTTAGACAGTGGAAGATGAAACCATATGGGAAGATGTGTTTACACAAAGGCGGAGGAACACTGGAAATGGTCATGAAGAGCTCAAGATGTAAGATCTTTTCTTACTATTTAAATCTCTTGGAAAAATTTGTCTATCAAAACCAATCAGGAAATTTAAATGAAACCACCAGTGGTTCCTTGAGAAGATCAATAAAATGATCATCATTTTGCCAGATGAACTAGGGAAAAAAGAGAAAAGACACCCATGTCTGATACCAGGAGTGAGAAAGGGTACATTACTACAGGTCCTACACAGGATGAGATGATGAGGTAGCATCACCGATGCAGTGGGCATGAGGTAGAGAAAGCTCCAGGAGATGGTGAAGGATGGGGAAGCCTGGTGTGCTGCAGTCCATGGGGTCACAAAGAGCATGACGTGACTTAGCAACTGAACTACAGCAACTAACATTAACAGAACAGGAAAGGAATGATATAAAACATGTTCTTCCAATGAAGTTTACAACTTAGGTAAAAGGGAAACAATCCTTGAAAGTCACTAACTATCATCAAACCTCTTTCAAGAATAGACCACCTGAGTAGCCGTAAAACAGTAAACTTCCCTTCCAGATGGCTTCTGCTAAGGATCTAAAGAGGAAATACTGCCAAAGTCCACAGAGACTCTTAGGTAACAATGAAGAGGAAAGACTATGTTTGAACTTGTCCTGTGAGACCAACATTACTCTGACACCAAAATCTGACAACAATATTATAAGTAAATACAACTACAGACCCATAAACCTCATCAATGTTGATGCAAACATTCTAAACACAATTTTAGCAAATCAAATCCAGCAAAAGGTAAAAAGGACAATACATTCCAAAAAAATGGTGTTTGTTTCAGGAATTTAAGTTTGGCCAAACATTAAAACATTAATAGATGTAATTCATTTTCTTGACACACTATAAAAGAAGAAACATTTTTTTTTCTTACAAAAACCAACAGAAATTCCTGTTGAAAAATCAGCAAATTAGGAATGGAGGAAAACTAGTTCCAACTGATAAAGGGTAAATGTGAAAATAAATTAATAAAAAACTGACAAAACAGGAAACTATAATGAACATATTAAATGGTGTAATACTAAATGCTTTCCCTCTATGATCAGCAAGAAGAAAAGGATTTCTCTTTTGCTATTTCTTTACATCATTGGACAATCTAACCACTGCAGGACATTAAAAAAAAACACACAAATACAACAGACAAAGGCATTCAGATTGGAAGTGATGAGTAAGACTATTTTCATTCTCAAATGATATAATCACCTGTGTAAGAGAGCCTAGGAAATGTACAAATAAACCCCATAAACTCAAAAATAGCTTAACAGATATCAGGATGCAACTTCAATGTACAAACATCAACCGTTAGTCTATATCCTTGCAATAAACTACTGGAAATTAAGATTTCAAAAAATTACAAGTGCACATGACCAGAATGTGTAAGACCTACTAAAAACTATAAAACTTTGCTCAGATAAATTAAGAAGCACCCAAACAAATAGAGAGATATATCAGGTTCAAGGGTCCAAGGATCCAATATTATTACTAGCAGGCTATTTTGTACAAATCAATAAACTTACTCTAAAATTAGTTTGCATTTCCAAAGCACTTTGAAATGTCAAAACAACTTTGAAAGGAAAAAACAAAGTCAGAGGACTAACACTAAGTTACTTCAAGACGTAAAGCTACAATAATCAAGAGACTGATTAGCACCAATGCAGGTAACAAGATAAACGGAACAGAGCGGAGCCCAGAAGACGACGGCAGCACTTGTGAAGGACTGGGCCTCAGCAAGAACACAAAGGCAGTTTGGCAGAGAAAGGAAGACTTCTTAAGAAATGGTGCTGAAGCAACTGAATGTCAGCATGCAAAAAAATGAACTTTGATCCATACATCTTACAGAAATGGATGACAGACTTAAATGTAAAGACTAAAACTATAAAAATTTTTAGAAGGAATTGTAGACGTCTTTGTGACTTTGAGTTAGGCAAAGATTTCCTAACTATGACATTCAAAGCATTTTATAAATTAAAAATTCGAAGAATTTGACTTCATAGAAATGAAAACATCTGTTCTTTGAAAGAAACTGATAGCCTAATGAAAAAAGACCGACCATTGACTGAGAAAAATATTTGTTTATCTTATATTGCATTGTATCCAGAATATGTAAATAACTCTCAAAACTTAGTAAAATGACAAACACCCCATTAAAAAAGTATGAAAGATTTGAATAGAGCTTCCCCATAGAGGATGTACAAACAGCAAATAAGCACACAATCAGGTGATCAATATAGATTTTGTTTATTGTTGTTTAGTCATTAAATTGTGTTCAACTCTTTGTGACCCCATGGACTGCAGCGTGCCAGGCTCCCCTGTCCTCCCCTATCTCCCAGAGCTTCCTCAAACATGTCCATTGAGTCAGTGATGCCATCCCACCACCTCATCCTCCGTCGTCCCCTTCTCCTCCTGCCTTCAGTCTTTTCCAGCATCAGGGTCTTTTCAAATGAGTCAGTTCTTCCCATCAGGTGGCCAAAGAACTGGAGCTTCAGTTTCAGCTTCAGCTTCATTCATTCCAGTGAATATTCAGGACTGATTTCCTTTAGAATTGACCAGTTCAGTATTAAGGCAACACAAATTAAGACCACTGAGATGCCATTAAAGTGCTGTTAGGTGACGAGGAGTCGAGAGCTCCCCTCTGCCAAGTGTTATTTTGGAAGAGTAGGAACAGCTAGAATATAGCATGCGACTACCCCTCTAGAAAACACTTCTCTAACTTTTTCTTGAGTTTTGTATTATTTGTCTTTGGTTAACATCCCTCAGTGCACTTTTGAGCAACAGAAACGTTGTAACATTTCCACACTATACTAGTACCACCACTCTAGTGCTATGTTAGCCTGAACGTGTGGCAGAGTGTCGCCCTCTGTGGCCGCCTAAGGCAGTTCTTCCTGCTTCAATCGGCTGCACACGCCTCACACGTCTGTACATATGATGTCTCATCTTCCCACTGACCTAGCCCACGGACAGCTTGCGTGTCAGTTTTTGGCACAAACCATACCACACTGATGCCCAGCAGGCAGTGGTGCCTATAGACGGTCCTGTCCAAAGCAATTTTTAAACAAGAGCAGTCACATTTTGTCCTTGAAATAAAAGGGTAATAGAATTGCATCAGAGAAGACTGGAGAAAGAGAAATACATTTTAGCAGGTGTTAAAGTGTTTCAAATGCATCTCCAGCACACAGCAGAATGTGGAGTGACCATGCCCATCTCAGTTCATGATAGTGAACCTCTTAATGTGATACTTCAAAATTATTGGGAACAATTGTATATTCTGTCCTCCTGTTCAATTTTATTAGGTTTTGCTTTCTATCGATCAGGTGACATTTCTTTGAAGGTCTAGTAAGGTTAAGTCCTTTTTCATTTCATACCACATATAACAATTTATTAATTAATAAAATAATCAAGTGAAGACAGTTTTTTCTATTGATTTAAATGCTTGGCCATGCTGTGATTAAAAAATAAATAGTTGAGTTTATTTAAGAGCATTTATGGATCCCCTAAGATTTTTATATACATCAGTCATAGATGCCAAGTTATAGTATGATGATTAAGAAAAGTGACATATTATCATATTCATTTTTCTAAACTGAATAGTCATATTATGTTTTAATTGTGGCTAAGAAAACCTATGGCATAGTGGTAAAGAATCTGCCTGCAATGCAGGAGACCTGGGTTTGATCTGGGTCAGGAAGATCCCCTGGAGGAGGAGATGGCAACCTATTCCAATATTCTTGCCTGGAGAATCCCATAGACAGAAGTGCCTGGAGGGCTACATTCCATAGGGTCACAGGAGTCAGACGTGACTGAATGCGCACACACATGTAGAAACACCTAAAATAAAATGTATGACTTTAACTGTCTTCAAGTGTACAGTTTAGTAGTGTCAAGTATATTCACTTTGTTGTGCAAATAGTGTTTTTATGATGTTTAACAAACACAAGGCGATCATCTGATTCAGCCATTCTGCTCCTAGGTACTTACCCAGGAGAAAAGACAACATACATTATTACAAAGATGTGAACACAAGAGTTCATTGCAGCTCTATCTATAGTAGTTAATAACTGGGAACAACCCAAATGTCCCTCAGCACGTGATTGGATAGACATTGGTACATCCGTTCAGTGAGATACTACCAAGTGATAGAAGGGGAAAAACCCGAAATATTGAGACACACGACTCTCTGGAGAGCCTCCAAGTTACTCAGGCAAGTGAGAAGGTCCAGGCGAAGATGAATACACAAAGCATTGTCCTGTTTTAAAAAGTAGAGAAACCTCAAAGAGCTCTCCAGAGACAAAGCAAGTTAGTGGCAGCATAAGCAGAGAGACAACAGAAGCAAAGGAAAGTCACAGAGTAAAACTTTGAGGTGATGGGACGGTCATTTGGACAGACTTGGTGGTTATTTTCTTAATGGGGCACATCGTGAATTTCAGAGAAACAATTAAAAACTCAAATCTGACTCATAAAGCAGATTAGGAAGCTAACACATGTAATACACAAATGCATGCACAGTGTGTTTGATCAGAATATCAAAAAAATTGGATCGTGATGAATTGGTGGGATTTGTCCTTAGAATTTCATCCTATGGCCTGGCTGACTGAGGGATTCATCCCACTCTCACATGAGACAGACTCCTGGGACATGGGACAGCCACCCTTGCTGTGACTTTGCACCTTCCCTTTTTTAAAATAAAAAAAACTATTCACTTTTAACTGAAGGATAATGGCTTTACAATATTGTGCTGGTTTCTGCATCAACACGAATCAGCAGCAGGTATACACATGTCCCCTCCCTCTTGAAACTCCCTCCCACCCTCCACCCATCCCAAACCCCTAGGTTATCCCAGAGCACGGATTTGAGCTGCTGCGTCATATAGTAAATTTCTACTGGCTGTCTCTTTTACGTTTGGTAATGTATGTGTTTCCAGGGTACTCGCTCCTTTTAATAGTAGAGTGTCTCTGTTAATCCCAGCCCCTAATTTATCCCTCCCCAGCTTCCCCTTGGGTAACCATCCGTTTGTTTGTGTCTGTGAGTCTGTTTCTGTTTTGTGAATACATTCATTTGTGTCATTTTTTTTTTTTTTGGATTCCACATATAAGTGAAATATGACACTCGTCTTCCTCCAACGGCTGTGCCTTTTTAGACGGTGGAAAACCACCCTCTAGTGACCGAGCGAGTCCCTGGCCCCCGAGGCTGACAGAAGGCCGGGCCCGTCGGGGACACCCCGTGTCCTCTGGGGGACAGGCTCAGGCCTGTAGACGCGGGGGCCGTGTGGTCCCGCCGGATTCCTTTCCTCACTGCGGCTTCCCGCCACGGTTAGCAGCACTCCCTTCTGCGGCGCGCCTAGTGGCGAGTGCACCGTTCTCTTTTAATGTAGCTCACTCCTCACTGCACACTGGGTTATAAAGTATATTTTGTGCAGTAAAACTGAGCTCTGCTTCTGCCGTTAGTCTAAGGTATTTCTGCAGGGCTCTGAGGTGTCGGGGCCCCTCCGGGCCGGGGTGGAGGCCCGGGGCCGGGCCGCAGAAACACTGCAGTCCAATGACGGCGAAGACGAAACTTGGGCTTCAGTGGAGCTCCATCTCAGGCCTGGACCCCAGCGGGGCAGCAGCGGAGGACTTCCCGGCTGGCTCTCCAGGGCGGCCGCAGTCCCAGCCTGCCCGCTGGCTGGGATCTGGTTAATGACGAGGCTGAGGCTCGGGGAAGGACTGTCCGGGGAGTGGGGTCACAAACCTCTGCCTTCTGCGTCCCAGCAAATGGGTTTTCAAAGAGGACAGGCCGCCCTCCGTCACTTAGCTGTCCACTGCTGAGCGAGGCCGAGGCCTGCGGCTGTGGGGTCCTGCAGCCCCGGGACCGTGAACGTGACCCCCCAGCTGGCGGGAGACTCCGGAGGGCCTAGGAAATGGGGCTGCCTTTCAGGGGTCCCGTCCGTCAAACAGGCAGGGAAGCTCCCCGGGCCCCAGGGTGCAGCATCTGAGGGCCGCCTTCTCTGTCGTCACCACAGATCATGACCACGGATGCAGCAGCTGTCCCAGTCCAGGCTTCTGCCAGCAGAAACGCCGCAGAGTGCGGCTTCAGCCGCACACACTTATTTCTCAGAGTCCTAGACCCTGGGAGGCCGAGATGCAGGACCGGATGAGTCGGTCTCTGGCGTGCGTCTCCTTCCGGAGGCCGAGATGCAGGAACCGGATGAGTCGGTCTCTGGCGTGCGTCTCCTTCCGGGTCGCAGACGGCCAGCTTCTCCCCGCGACCTCGGGGTGGACGGCTGAGGCAGAACCGAAAGCTGTTTGTGACAGTGCATCCCCGAGGCCCCACCCCCATGACGTCATCGCCCCAAAGGCCCGCCTCCCGTCACATCCGGGCTAGGCGCACAACCCGCGGATTCGCGGGACGTGGTCTCGGTCCACACCTCAGCGTTTCAGGTATTCGTATAAAAGGACAGACTCGGGCGTGTGAGAATGTGACACGCAGCTGTGATAATTAAAAGTGATACACAGGGACTATATTTCCAGATTCTTTGATGTTAGTGTATGTATGTATGTATACATGTATGTGTGTATAGATACATATCTATATCCGTGTATAACATAGTAGAAGCACTGTCCACTCACGTGTTTATTGAGGACCCACTGTCACTTGGGACTGTACTCTACCCATGAGAAATGACCTGTGGGAACTTGCTGTGACTTGGCTTCTAAATCAGGAGACAACAGCTCAGGAAGGCAGGTTGAGCGTGAGCAAAAGAACAAACACAGAAGATGAGGAGAGCCTTCTCCCGGCCTCCGTGCAGCCCTCGGACGTCATCTGCGGGATCTCACCCGGGGTCCTTCATCAGGATGGCGTTCGTGTTCTGAGGCTGGTGGCCTCTTGGACATCACGTGATTCCCAGCCTCCCTGACTTTGCCAAGGCTGCCCAGCGCACCGAAGCGGAAAATCGTCTGCTAAGCTACTTCTAAGAAAGAATCTTGAAGGACAGGTAGACTCTCGAGGGCACGCTGGGTGTAGATTCCCCCAATGCTGTGAACAGTATGGATAGACTCCTGTCCTGGGATGCCCCTCGTGTTCAGATGTTGCTTCAGTGGGTGTTTTCTGGGTTGGAGTCTGAGCACCTGAGGCCTGGGAAGCTGAATGGATTCGCACCCCCCCCCCCCGCACCCCCCGGTCAGACAGAACAGTGGACCCTCAGGAAGAGGACACAGTCCAGCAGACTCTCTTTGGGATCTGAAGTCGTCCATTAGTTATGCAGCCTTCCGACCGAATGGCCACTTGCGTAGATTTGGCCACCTTCCTGTGACCCCTTGGCAGAAGCATCTCCCAGGCTTTCAGGAACGTCAGGGGATGTGGTTGGTGCTGAGACCATGGAGTGTGCCCGGTGTAACCTCAAGAGGATACCTCAGAATTCTTCCTTAAAGTTGCCTAGCAGGCAATTTTCCGCATGTGTGTGCTGGGCAACATTGGCAAAGTCAGGGATGCGGGGAATCACGTGATGTCAAAAAGGCCATCAGCCTCAGGAGTCCTGAGACAGGAGTCCCTGTCTCCCTGGGTATGTTCTCAGTGCATTTCCCACCCGATGACCCCTGTTCTAACGTCCTAACCTGTCCTGGTGGGAATTGAGCACACTTCTTCCTTTATTAAAGCTGGGTACCATCCTGAGGCCCAAGGGAGCTTGAGCCAGTGCCCCCCCCGGCCCTGCCCCTGCCCTGCCGTGGCCCAGCCTGCGCGCCTGGGCTGACATCTCCATCGTCCTGTCTGACAAATCTGTGCACTGGCTTGTAAAAAAAATCAATACTGTTTTTCCCGGGTACTTTCTCCACAGGTGAGTTGATGGATTATCGCGTCTTCCCCTGCCCGCCCCCCGCCCCAACCCCAATTTTGTTATCGCTTTGTTTCTCTTGCTTTAGGGTCGAGCATCGGATAACATCTCCAGTGGGATGACACCAAAAGAGTGTCCACGACCTTATCCCCTGGTGACTGGGTCCCTGGGGACTGAGTGCTGGCCCCGACTATAAAGCGGGCTCCGTATCACCAGGATACGCTGGCTGACTGACGAGGTGTGCTCTGGAGCCCACAAGAGCAGCATCTGTCGCTGGGCTTTGCTGACAAAGGTGACCACACGCACCGTTCTGTTACCTGCGTTCCAGAAGACAGGGCTGTTACATCAAGGCACCGTGGAATGTGATCACTCCTCCTGTGACGGGTGGGGCATGGCTGAAGCTGCAGGAATCGGTCACAAAGGAGTTGCTTATCTGTCGGGAGATCACATTAGTTAGAAGCATCTGGATTTCCTGCTCTAGGTAGTTGGTGACCGTCTGACGGCATTCCCGCCCCCTCCCCCACCCCCGGAGGTGGTAGCCAATTCTGAACTGCACCCAGAGGTGCAGTCCTGACGACCTCAGGGACCCTTCTCTGCAGAGGGGGCTGTCTGAGCTGGGACTGGTTTGCTGGCCCAAGGTGTGGTGCTTGCCTTCTCTTCCCTTCTTGAGATGGTAAATCCACTCTCAGCTCCCAGGGGACCTGAGCACATGGGGACCTGGAGGCGGGTGTCTGCTTCCTGAGTCTGGGTCCTACATTTTCTTCTAAACAGGCCTGGGGTCAAACCAGCACGCTGCCCCTGACCACCCCATGTCTCCCTCTGTCCCTGTTTCTGTTTGTCTCTCTTTGTTTCTGCTTGTCTGTCTGTCCCTGTGTCTGTCTGTCTCTCTGTCCCTGTTTCTGTCTGTCCCTGTTTCTGTCTGTCTGTCCCTGTTTTTATCTTGTCTGTCCCTGTCCCTGTTTCTGTCTGTCTGTCCCTGTTTCTGTCTGTCTGTCCCTGTTTCTTTCTTTTTTTTTTTTTTGTCTGTCCCTGTGTCTGTCTGTCCCTGTGTCTGTCTGTCTTTCTGTCGCCCTCTCACTCGCTCTTGCTGTCTCACTGTTTCCTCCTCTCTCTTTAACTGTAAACTTGCTTGTCTCCATCTGGGATTCAACCACTGACCAAATGCTGCATTTTATGGGATCCTTATTATGAAGATATTAGATACTAGGAAATGACCACAGAGAGGTTTAGGATTCTGAGCAGTAAAAGCAATCTAAGAAGTATTTTGCAAGATTTTAAATGTTCTTAAAATCTTGACTTTTTTTACCCAAGATGCTGCTTTTTCTGGCCATCACCACCCTTTGGTGATGGACAGGAGGCTGTCCTTCGGGCTGGATGAGTGACCTGGGTGCTCCCTCTGGACCTTCACGAGGTGGGGCTGGCACCCTGGGGAGGGGGCCCATGTGCACCCACGCCTCTAAGGGCTTCAGCTAGATTCTCTCAGGCCTGTGTTGTTTCCAGCAATTTTCATAAGTGCATCCCCTTTAAAAGCAGAATCTTCACGATGAATCTCATTGAGTCTTTCATTTATGGAAACACCAGACGTTTCCACTGTACGCTCCTTGGGGAAGCTCACCCCTGCTCCTTACAGAGTATTCCATCAGGCTTCCCTGTGTTGTGCTCCTTATTTTAACTGCGTAATATCTTAAAGGTGGCCTACATTCACCTTTATTTTTTAAAATTAATTGATTTATTTATTTTACTTTACAACATTCTATTGGTTTGCCATACACTGACTTGGCTCCACTCCGCCATGGGTGTACATGTGTCCCGATCCTGAACCCCTCCCACCTCCCTCCCCACCCCATCCCTCTGGGTCATCCCAGTGCACCAGCCCCGAGCACGCTGTAAAGATTTCACCTGTAAATCTTTTATTGCATCTCAAATTATTTTAGCCGGGTTGCAGGAGGTGAGATGCCTCCATGTTTGCTCCAAATCGAACAGATCTAGGGTAGGCTTGCCCCTGGGTGGCGCTCCTGACCCCCGCTTCTGGCTCCGGGGTCCGGGGTGGGAGCGGACACTGTGCCACTTCCTGGATTTGCTCTGAGGACACTGTGCCTCTGGGCGTCTGCCAGGCAGGTGGGAGGTCCCAGAGGTGATGGGGGCTTAGGCCTTGCTGAGCCCACGCATCAGGAGGAGTCTTGATGAGTCCGGCGGCCTGACCCGTGCCTCTGTCGCCGCGCCTGCGCTCTAGGTCCAGATCTGAATCGCCACAGGTCGGGCTTCTATGCAGCACACCCAGACCTCTGTGAGCCGCCTGGGGCCAGGCCCCGGTCTCTTCTGCCCTAATCGCTGACACAGCTCCTGGCTTACAGTCAGTATACAATTAAAACTTGTTGAGTCGATAAAGGATTTAATGAGTGGGTACATTTTAAATTTAACATGGTCTGGACAAAAATAAATTCCTGGGGTGCAGAAGTCAGGCCTTTAAAATTCCACCAAAATATTTCTGTGCTTGCGTTGATAGCTTTGCCATATTCAAATGATCAATTCCGTGTCAAGATGTAATTTTTAAAAAAGCTAATTTAATAACTCTACGTTGGGAACGGTTTTGTGTTTTAGGTACTGCTGTGGTGTGAGACACAAAGGACATGCATTCTTGGTTCCAGCAATTTAGCTGCAATATGCCAGTTTCGAGCAGGAAATCCGATCTGCGTTTGCAGCCCCTCCTGACTCAAGAGAGTCGATAATTCACCATTTTAGGGCAGCGAGCCCATTAACGATGAACAGCTTGAGAATACACTCTTCATTGATCAGATAAACAAATCATGAGATATTTTATTACAGAATGATGGACCAATTTAGCCATCTTTTCTCCAACAGTGGACTTATATTGAATGTGAAATGGCAAGAAATTTGCTTCCTCAGGGAGCTATCATGAGAAATACAAAGTGAAAGCTGATCATCAAAATGGCTCATCTAAGTGGATTTATATTGAATTTAACCCAAATTTAAGCCAGACCTCTGATCAACAAAAGTTTTACAGAATGGTGATTGCTTTTTCTTTGTTAGTCTTACTCTGAATCACATGCAATATTCTGTTTCACATTTACATCATGATTTTAGCTTAATCTGGTTGTTTCCTGTTAAAATACATTCATTATACTGGTAACTTATATAAGCTTTATTTGTCATAGTTCTGAATTCATCTTAGGTACATGGTTGAGACAACTTTAAATCTATCCCATGAAGATTTAAAATTGCTTTTAAACTTCTAAAAATGCAACAGTTATTGGCTAGAGGATGCAAGTGAGATGTGTAGGGAGATATTTGTGTATTTACATAAAATTCACAGCATTCATGAAACTGAGCACAAAGCAGATGTGCAGTCAAATCAGGGTGTTTGGGAGGCTGTGGGATTTGCCTTTCCGGTATTATTTCAGACTGAACATTCAGAGAAATCCCTCCTGTGAGAACTGTCTATAAACACGGGGTGAAGTTACACTCTAGCTGGGAAAGCATCTGAGAG